CATACCGAGCATGTTGGGATTTCAACAACGCTAAAGCGTCACAAAAAATTATGTTGAAAAATGTGCAATATGCCAGCAGACCAAACGTGCGAATTAAAAGGAGCCGTTAATATTAAGAGGTATCCCAGAACATCCTTTTCAACTCGTTTCGATAGACATATTTAAATTTAAAGGCGACGATTTTTTGCTGATCGCCGATCATTATTCGGGTTTCACTGATTTCAGAAAACTGAAATCAGCAACGTCAGCTGAAGTTATCTTACTGCTACGTCAGTGGTTTTCAGTTCATGGTATACCAGAAATTCTTGAATCAGATGGAGGACCACAGTTTGTAACGACACGGATTCGTTGTTTTTATTCTGCTGAGGTATCACTCAGTCGCGGTCCGGGTCATTGCAATAAATTTGTTTTATTGACCAGTTCGAAGCTGGTAAACCAAGGAAAGTTAAAAGACCGTTTGTTTTTATTATTTTAAAATTTATTTATTAAAAGTTTTCTTAAATAACTTATTTTAAGCTTGACTCTACTCAGTAAGTTTTATCGAAAGACGTCAGAACATCAAAGGTTTGTTTTTCCAAATCTACTCAATTAGTTTTTAGCCAAAGATGTCAAAACATCAAAGGCGTTATAAAATCTATTCAATAAGTTTTACCCAAAGACGTCAGAACATCAAAGGGTTTTTTTTCAAATCTACGCAATTAGTTTTTAGCCAAAGACGTCAAAACATCAAAGGCGTTATAAAATCTACTTAATACCTTCTACTGATTTATTTAGCCTTAGCGTCGAAACACCATGGGCTTCTAAAAGGGACTTAGCGCTGGAGTAGTGATCTACTCACTTCGGTGTACCGGTGCTAAGTGAATTTTGCATACAAAATCTCGTCTTTTATATGCAATTCTTATTTGCACGCACAACCGCACAAGTATAATTTTCGTGCGTGTGGGTGTTCGCTGTGTTGATTGTGCGTGTGGATGTTCGCTGTGTTGATCGTGCGTGTGGATGTTCGCTGTGTTGATCGTGCGTGTGGATGTTCGCGGCGTTTGTTGTGCGTATGGATGTTCGCTGTGTTTATCGTATTTAAATAATTTTTATGCAGAGAATTTCAGTAAAAATAGTAAGTTTATGTAGAGCGGAAATTTGTACAAAATTCCGTCCTTACAAGTTTACAAGTCATTCCTTTAAAGAACTAAAAATAGAGTGGAGATTCCAAAACAGAGCTTCTTCACCCCACTATCCACAATCAAATGGTTTTGCAGAGCGAAATGTACTGACGGTAAAAGGCATACTAAAAAGATGTTGGTCTGATGGAAGTGATCCATATTTGGCAATGCTGTTGCTGCGCAATACTCCTCGAAATGACATATTAAAATCGCCAAGCCAACGTTTATTTAGCCGTGAAACGAGAACAATACTGCCAAGCGATATATCTAATCTAAAGCCAAATATTGTTCCACGTCAAGCACTTAAAATGGGAGACAACGTGAGAATGCAAGTCGGTCATCGTGCATGGAACCCGGCAAAGGTGATCGAAGTAACCCCAAACCCCCGTTCCGTTATAGTTGAAACGCCGGATGGTAGAAAATATCGCCGTAATAGTATTCATCTTCATACTACGAAAGCAAAGCTCCCAATTTTCCCGATAATTGAACTGAAGGAGAGGTCTCAGGAAAACCCTGACGTCTCACAACGTATACCGGAAGCTGCATGTCATGATCCGAAGCAGAGCAACGTGGTTCCTTAGGCCTATTCCCACCCGGTGGAAACAACCAAATTTTCGAGATATGGACGAAAACTAAATCCAATTGTGAAATATGGTCCTTCAGATCAAAGTTAGTTTTTTGTTAAAATATTAATTGTTTTTTTTTAATTTTTTCAATTTCAAAATCAAAGTTAAAATTTGTTAAGAAAGTATTCCCATTTAGAATATTAATTTTTTTTCCAAAAAAAGGGGGATGTCATGGCAACCCTGTAATATGAAAATACAATATACAATAAAATACACGACAGTCAGTCTTAAACATAAACTCGGTGTGTTTGTACTCTAGCGTCCATATGACACCCTGCTCGAGCATCAATAAAAAATTCAAGACTTTTTGTAATTTTGAATTGTTGAAGTTTGAATAATTGAATTAACTTTAAATGTATTAAATATAAATAGATTAGATTAATAACTCCCTCCCCCCTGCCCCTACCTGTGTATACCCATGTTAATAACAGTCACAATTTTTTTCTCTACTATCAAATTTAAAAATTTGCACTACTTTTAAAATTTTTTCCCGGTTTTATTAAAGTCAACTCTGACTGACATTTATTAAAAAATGTGTCACTTTTTCGTTATCTCAACTTATCTTTTGCTTAAAATTTATCTTTCGCATAGTTGTATTTGAAATTTCCCTTAATTTTAGCCTTCGTTTCAATTAATTTAAGCCCATTTTCCTTAATAATATCATTCTAACCTTAAACTGAATTTTGTACAGAAAAAACAACTTAATTTCGCTAAAACGAGGATGAAATTAAGAATTTTGCGAAATTAAAATATGTCTGAACATAGTATAAATCTAAATTTTGTGTGAAAAAACAACTTAATTTCCATGAAATAAAAATGAAATTAAGATTTTTGTGATATTAGGGTGTGTCTGAACATAGTATTGACAATAATTAATATTTGTGAAATTTTTTAAATTCAATAAAATTTTTCCGTGCTATTTGTCAACCGATAATAAAATAGGAAGAGTATGACATCAGCTTTTCAGTCAGTCACAATATCACGAAAAGTCAAACCTGACGTATTTTGCTGGGACATGTACTATTCACCCACTGCGTGTTACAGTACTGCTATTGGTGTTCTTTCAAGTATCTACAGTAGTTTGTGTGTTTTGTGAACTCAAATTTTCATAGCCGCTTGGAAACGCTGCCTTTAATGGTGGCCAGACACGATCATCCCTCAAAAAACGTGTGTAACGTGTTGTAGCTACTTCTGTACTAACAACTTTTCTTTTGAGTGGTTCCATGTGGGAATCGGTCATATCTGGGACATCATCTGTTAAATATTTTCCACGATTCATTTTCGAGGATTTTGTCATTCTTACTTTGTTCCAAGATTCACCCGGTAAACGTAGAGCTGTCCCGTTTACCATCTCCACTTAGGTTGATTCGAGATCATCTTTGAAAACATTTCGAACCGCTAAAACATTGCGGTTTTCAGAGTCCGGTGAAATCGTTCGATCAAACTATTTGCCTGGGAATGACACGGACAGGTTCAAATATGCTTGACACCAATGAATTTTGTTAATTCATTGAATTGTAATGAGTTAAACTGCCTTCCTTTATCTGTTATGATCTACTTAAGGACGCAGATTGGAAGTGCATATTGGTTTTAAGTGGATGATTCAGCAATTGGTAAGCGTTGTGGTCATTTCACTTGGTCATAATCATAATGCAAATTAGAATCCGTGTAATGACCACCGCGTACTCAATGTGTGACAAATCCTGAAGAGTGTCTCATCCAGTTTAAACACGACGTTATATGCATCTTGCATAGAAAGGTGAGGCAAATATCGTCAAATTGCTGCACTAAAACTTGTCCCATGTTATGCCTTCGTATGAAGTAAAACACACCCACCGAATTGTATATGAGTTTAATGTTTTTGCAAGCTGCAAATATATTTTTTTACACGTTAATCTCAAGAGATTCTTTCGAACAAATATATGAACGCTCTTACCGAGTAGTGCAGCGAAACAAAAAAAGCTATATTATCAGCGTAGGAGACAAAAACATAACCATTCCCACAGATAGGCTTAAACCATTATTTTTGACGATAAACCAAAATCCCCGGAGCAGTACAGAAATATCCAGTACAACAAGTAAACCCAAAACCCAACAAAACAATAGTGATTCATCACAAAATTCTAAAATTCTAGAAATTTAATTCAAAGTTCATATGACAACATTTAACATCTAATTTAAAGCAGTCCAAAATATTGTAGGACAAGGGGGTTTTGAACCCTACAACCCAACTTGTGTACTTATCTCTTCCGCGGCAAAGATAAGTAAACCTTGTTACATATATCACCAATCATAGCACGATCCGCCACCCATTTGAGGCATTTTGAAATAATTTTCATATATCTCAAGATTTAGCACTACTGACTTTGAATGTAGCACGCATTTATGTAAAACTTAACATAAAATGTGAAAAATGTGTAAAATACATTAACACTCGCTGTTATGCAAAAACATCATCAGTAATGTTTAAAAAGAATTTATAATAAGACAACAGCTTTATTAGCTAATTGAGCAGAATTTGTCCCTCTCTCCACTTCACCTAACCGTAATAAGTTTCTTAACAGGCAGCCATCGATTAACTTAAGAAATAAGAGACAATTTCTATGCACAATAAAAGCAGCCCTGATGCAATACTAGATCTGATTACATACTAAACTATTATTTGTCATATGTATATAAGCGTTTATATTCCTTTTGTTCTCTAACTGGAGCTCTACTCATAATCTTGTTCCAGATCAGTTTTCCTATCACACTACCCCCTTAACCTCTTTTGGTTAGCTGTGTCACATAAAGATAGCAGTATTTCTTCACTTCAGCCCAAATTAGTTTCAATACCTCTTATTTCGGAATTTGTCCCTATAAGTCCACTTTTGGGTTTTTACTTCACATTACAACAGAATTCAGTCGAAAGCTTCAAGGATTTTAAATTAAAAAAATTTTTTTTTACTTCTTTTAATAAGGTCCAAAAAATTTTTTGTTTTCTATTTGCAACACATTCAACGCAAAAGATAAAACGAAATTTTTGAGTTTTAACTAAATTCATTCAAAGTTTCCAACTTTCTGGGCTTTAAAATAAAACATTTTCTTAATGCCGCACAGAGCACTTAAAGTATTTTCACATACATTATGTATATTATTTAAGTACATAAGCGAATAATTATGCTAGTTCACCCTTAATTCATTTGTTTTTACTACAAACTTTTTAGTGTGCAAATGTTTATTTTTATAGCAATACTACTACACCACAAATAATTAATGCAGATTTAAATATAATATTACAAAGGAGAAAAAGTTGAAAGAATAGTTTGTTTTACTGCCATAATTGAGTCGATTGGGAACTCGAACTGAACTTTTATTTGAACTTTTACAAAATTAAAGTTTCTATTACTTTTAGATATATGTATATTTTGATCTCTTAATTTCTGATGAAATAGTTAACATACATTAGCTAATGTCATTCGTTCATAACTTTATTCATTGTCATTGAAATGTGAAGAAATATTATTAGAAGACAGGATAGATGCTTTCTCTGAATCAGTTAAATTTACTACATTGTGTTGTAACAAATCTGGAGAATGTAGTTGATTATCGTCCTTTCTTACAAGAACGTTTAAGTCCATTTGATTTTCATCAATTTTCTTAACTTCATTATTCATAATGATTTCAGTATTAATTATTTTATTTTGCTTTTTCAATATCTTAGACCCATGCGTTATCAACATTACTGCAGGTGACTTGTACGGCAAAACTTGTATTACTGTTTGTAATAATTTTGGTGCATTTTCTGGTGTCTTTGGATTATTAATAATTACATCTTCTTGTAGCGAACTTTTTTTACGTGCTTCTTTGCGCTCTCGTGCGGCATTTTTTCGCATAAGTATACGTGCACGTTTTCTAAGTATAGCTTGAGCGTTTGGATAATATGTTATTACTTCATTTAAATCGGACTTCGATAAAACAAATAGGTTCGAAAATCCTTTTGATCGTACATTTGCAGTTCGTCGATCTGCACCATCAATACCCAGTAAACTTATCTCACCAAAAACTGAACCTTCAGATAGTGTTGCTAAAACTGTATCATTATTAGGTCCTCCCATTACCTGAACTTGGCCAAGTTTGATTATATACATTTCACGCCCGACTTCACCTTTGCGGCAAACATAATCACCCGGTAAAAAAGTAACAGCGCGTAATTTTAAAACCAGGTCTCGTAAAAGTGCTTCTTCACAGTCTGCAAATAGTTGCACTTTGGAAAGCGTTTGTATGTGGACAGATATTGCAATATCAGTTTTAAGATTAATAGGCAAAGAATCTAATATATTCACTTCATCTAAAATAGCAAAAGTTTATAAGAAGATAATGTTAATATAAATTTAAATAACCCAAAGTTCGTTGCTGATCCCAAGTAAATTTAAACCACATTTTAATTCTTTTCTGAACTCCTTTAGGCAAGCTTAAGCGTCTCATGTATTCAAGAGTTGCATCTTCTAATTGCCTGTATTCATTTTTGCTTCGTGTTGCGGTTGATATTATATCTCGTATTTGACCAATTAATAACGCAAAAACAAATACTCCCATTAACCAAGCAGCTGTCATGAAAACGTACTCCCCGTCATGTTCTGGCTTCGGATTTTTTCCTAAATGTAACAACAAAAATCTATATGTAAATGTTGAAACAAAAGCCAGAACTTTATACCTATTGAAGTTGCAGTTTTCGTTGCAAAAGCAAAGCACCTAACATAAGGATGCCCATTTCCACTGAACACCCACCGATTAATTCCCAAACCTAGAAATAAAGCGATCATTAGTAACGGAGTTAGTACTTTATATGTATACACATATGTCTTTCACCTTGGTAGTCACTATAAGCGTAGTATGCACAGGCTGTAAGATGTATCATATATAGCATATAAGTTAATGTTTTTCCTACGCGTACCTATATATATATAAAAAACATTATTTTTAAAAAATTGGGGAAAATTCAGCTCTTACTATATGTGGTGAAGATATTACACGGTCAAGCAACTTAAATACTTCCCAAAAACTCTGAATTTTGAAGAAACGAGGAAACCGGAGATATACTGCCTTAGTATCCAACACAAAGTATAATAGTTCTAAGGGTAACATAGCCAAAAGGTCAAGCTAAAATATTCAAATATTTATTTAGACTTAATTTATGTTCTAAATATAACCTTAAATTGTAATTTCCGCATATAATTTTTGCATGTAAGCTTTTTGTTTTTAACCCAGAAACCTTCAAATAAATACATAACGCGATGTTTAAAAAAGACTACGTCGACTAAATATATAATATCAGCAAAAAAATCACAAATTAACCATATATTTGTATTCTCATCAGTCTGAAATGGAAAGGTTGCACGCATTGGAATAACCCAAGCATTATACAAGAAAGTAAGAGAAACAATGCACAACCATGATATATATATTGTGCCTTGTGGGTCCAATGTGGTTTCATCATTTTTCTGGGTGCATACATTTGAACAAAGCCATTCTTTTGAATGTGGTGTGTCTGCTTCGAAAAAGTTATTTTTTTGCGTTAGCAAAGATTTACTAGCTGACATTGATTTATTTTCTTCATTTACGTTATTCCTTAAACGAAGCGATTTCGCTGAAGAATGTGACGAAAATGAGTTATTTCTGGAAGATGATGGAGAACACTCTAAATGATTCTTTACTTTTTTGGCACGTGCAGTAAAACGTCTTATTAAATGACAAACTTGATTACGTAAAAACTTTTCACCATTCGTGTCCAAACTGTTAAAATTAAAAAGTTATTTTGAATAAAACAACTAAGCAGTGAACATACCTTGTAGTGAAATGAGACGAATTACAAACAGAATTTGGTAAATTAGAAGACACTTCATTTAACTCATTCTCAATAATTGGTCGGCAGTTTATTTCATCATTAAGTACGTCTGGTAATTCATTGTATCGAATTTGAACATCTTCTTCGTCTTCATCGACAAAAACCTGCGAACAGCTACAAAATTCTTTACTAAAACCCGGACTTATTTCTGAAGTGCTCCATTTTGAGTTTATATTTTTCGGAATGTCACTAAATTTGTTATTAGCATCACAAGATGAGGTTTCAGATGTCTTTATAATTCTATTCACACTTTCTGAACACGCTAATGGTTTTTCATTTTCCAATTTAATTATATGCTTAACTAAAGCATACGTGCTATTAATATTAGATGTTTGCTTTTCTGCTTCTAAACAACCAATTTTACCATTTTGAAAATAAAGTTTTGCATTTGGTAAAATCATGGTTGTTTGATTATTAAGCGTGTATGATATAGTGTCTGAAGTATGATTATTATTATTTGTGCTATTACATTCTAATGGACACTTTTTTAACTCTTCATTACACACTATATTTTCCGTTGCAGTGAGAACATCTTCAATTTCTTTAATTTCTTTAGTTATTTCTTCCAGACTTCGTCGAATGAGGGTCTCCTTGTCACCTGAAGCTGAATACAGAATTTCACTATTATGTGAAAAGTATTGATTATTGTATACGTTCATTTAAATATTTTGTTCCAATGTAATATCAGTGGTGGGTTGGTTTTTTTACTCAAAAGTTATGATAATTGCCGGAGTGTAAATGCGGTGTTCAAAGTTGCGTTATACTATTAATTAAAAATTTAAATTAAATTTAATAAGTATCTGGCTACTGCAACCAAGTGGATTCGAATAGTTGTTTCTTCTAAATATAATATGATACCATAAAAAGGGAGTTACGTAACTCAAATTAATTACACATACGCATTTAGCTATATAACCTAAAACACAATCAACTTCAGGAGATTACAACTTTTTCTTTGCACGGCTTTTAAACACGTTATAATTGAGCTGAGTACTCTAATATTATTGACATACAAATTAACTTATGTTTTCATACAATTAAATCCTATATAAGATATTATCCCTTTTGTAAGAAACGTTATGTATATGCTATTTATATAGTTTTCGATGTATAAGATATGCTTATATTAGCAGTATTTTTAACATGAATATAGGTGTTGGCGCCTTCTGGTTTACAATGAATGTATATAAAAACGAGTTAAAAACGGTCCTGCTCTGAATACTAATAATGGTATTCCAATATAATAAATCATGCTTTTTTAACCGAATAGTCGAAATAGGAATGATAAAATATGTACGTAATATTGTATATAAAAATTATTAGTACGTATTATTACTTTGATTTTAAAAGCTTGTATTTATTTTAAGTTATACAAATTTTACTTTAAGCTTTTTAGATTATATTGCATTATTATACTAACATACTCTACACTTTTGAGTCACATTTTTCGCAGTGGTTAAAAGCGTCACAGTAGAGCTTTAAAAATATATTCGGACACTGGCAGCGAACATTGAGAAAATTAAATATATTAGAATATATTGTTGATACATAAATCTAAAAATTTCTAAATCTGTTTTGGTTCAGATGTAAACATTTTAATTTAAATCAATCTGGTTCTATTTGATTTCGTCCGATAAACAGAGTTATTCCACTATAATTACGAGTATGAGCTTTTACATCTCTATTCGTTCGTTTAATTTCACATAAACCTGTTTCATTTATACATTTACATACATTGTTAATATATTAAAGCACAAATCAATCAATACATCTAATGTTTAATTTTTGTGACTTTATTAGATATTTATTAAAAACGTATTTCACTTTCATTAAGAATTGACGTATTTAAGTTAAATTCATAATAAATCGCTGGATTAGTAGCTTATTTTATTATTGAAATACATTTTTTCAATATTTGAAAAATCATATTCATTTGGGTCAAATTTGTTTACAGATAACAGATTACACAATAATAGGACAGCGACAACATTAACATAAGCTCTGTTACTATTACTGTTAACCTTTAAGTAATATCTTTAACTAATAACTGTTAACTGAGGAATTGAAACTTATTCAGCAGGTTCTTATTGGTGTAAAACAATCACTTTAACTTGGTAGAAATTAATTTTGGTCTGATTTTATTAATTGAAAGATCGAGTGTTTATAGAATTTACAATATTCTTAAAACTATTTCTTAAATTATGTATTTATTAAATATTTAATTACCAACATTAAATTAATTTAGTTTTCACTCAACAAAATACATGTAATATTTTTGTAAGCAGTTGTTTGAATTAGTTGTGTTGCCTTACAAGAAATTTTATTAGATAAGAATTATAGCATATAATATAATGCAAATGAATCAATAAATAAATTAATGACAAACACTAAAGTTAATAATTGTTTTACAAAATTAAATATATTAAGGAATTAATCTCAACATTCTGCACTTCGTTGGTTGCTCAATATTTCAGACATGCGCTATGAATTCTGGACCGTGCTGTCGTGGTATGTTACATCTTGTTGAGTAACTGTTTCTTTCCGCTGATATCTACACATAGCAGAAAAAGTGTACGGACACCCACAAAAATGTTCTTATATTTCGCATAACTTATTTCATTTTTATTCAAATTGATTTTTGTTTTCTGATTTATATTCACCAAAGAAACAACATTAAAGTTTTAATATAAAAAATTTACAATTATTCTTTTAAAAAAAAATATACACAATTATGTGCACAAGCATCAATTTTTAAAGCAGAAAAAGTCTACGGACACTTCCTAATATTTACATTTACCGTTGATTTAAATGCGCTTGCAAGCATAAAAGTGTCATTAAATGATATTTATTTAACAGTTGACTTCCTAAAGAGTCTAAAAATTAATCATTTAAAAATATTTTTTTGTATAAACAGTAAATTTTTACAACGGAAAATAAAAAATGTGAAATAATTCTGTCAGATAGAGAAAGACGCAGCATAATCAACCAGGTGAAAATAAATCCAAGAGTAAGAGCCTCCGAACTGGCTGAACATATTGGCTAAATACTTGAAAACAAAATGTGTCCTAATATTGTTCGCTATATACTAAAAACAAATTTGAACGAATATGACAGAATTTTAGAACCTGAGGCAACCTTTTTGTTTCAGCAGGACAACAACTCTTAGCATACAGCAGCAATCATACGGATTTAGCTGCTGAGCCATGCTCCGAGGCAACTTCAAACACTATCAAAATTACCAGACCTTAGTCCCATAGAACATCTGTGGGTTTATTTAAAAAATAAGACTCGTCAGCACGAGTTACTTGGCACATTATTAACTCATTTTCTTGTAATCGAATGTATTGATCTCAATCTGAATTGATGGTTAAATATAAGATATCAGTCTGTTAGGACGGAAATTTATAATAAATTTCGCCCTATATAAAACTTGGCCGAAACATAAATTGTAACGCAGCACAACACATAACTAGTTTTACACATATCTATTTTAACACATATCACAACTGCAATCATCCCAAACATCAAAAAAATTCACCAGAAAATAATGTGGACACTTGAAACTAAAATTAATTTAAGTAAATCAAATTTCAAATAAATAAATACATTAATCCAAACTCACCCTCGCACGAGAATAATTGCAGCACGCATCTACAGTACATCCCAGTGATCTGCAATTACATTTAAGAAAAATATGAGTATGTGATTAAATAAATTAATAATACACTTTATTAATAATACATTTTATTAAATATTGTCTTATAGCTGCGTTGCAGCAAACAATGATCTGTATCATCTTTGCTGAAACGATACGGACCACGTATAAAAGTAATTGGCAACGCATGAATTATGTTAGTTGGGTTTTATTTATTTTTTTATTTATAATATTAAGTGCATTAAGTACATGCTTTTTATTGCACTATCTTAAAAACTAACTTAAAAGCTAACAAGATATTTATTCAAGTACAATTTATTTTGAAAATTACAAATAGTAGAAAATAATAAAATTGAGTTAAAAAATACAATTTTGCTATAATTTCAAATTGGATATTATTATACATATGATATAAAGGAAGTATAAAAATTAAACTAATATTAACATTTAATTTAAAATAAAAATAATAATTTAAATAAGTTCAGTTAACAATAACTTTTTAAAAACTCTTAAATCACATGCATTTCGGGTTGAAATTGGTAAAGCGTTCCATAATCGAATTGAATGAATAAAAAAAAACCTAGTGGTAGCAACAAAATTAAATCTTGGAATTATGAAAAGAAGAGATCTTGTGGAACGCATAGGCTGCAAGCAATTATAAAGGTACTCAGGATATTTAGAAGTTTTTAATTGGAACAGAAATAGGCAGATTCGAATATTTAAATACTGCTCAATGTCACAACCCAGTATAGCGTTTCTATAAACTGTTAGATGATCAAAACGTTTAAGGCCGTAGACGTATCTAGTACAACAGTTTACTACTGTTCTCAGTTTAGCAAGGGACTCGTAGTCCAGTTTACAGTACACCAACGCGGCATAAGTAATTATAGGCAATATTAGTTGTCTGACCAATAAGCCACGGACATGGACAGGGGTATACTTAGCAGATAAATTCAAATATCTGAGGCAAATATATGATTTCCTAACGACATGATTGATATGATCAGAGGCATGTAGCTTTGAATTCAAATTAAATCCTAGACATTTAACTGATGCACTATATTTAATAATTGAGTTTCCAATAGCTACCGATGGTAATTCGTCTAAGTTTAATTCAGACCTACTAAGCGGCAATATGATGGTTTTATCTGCATTTAGCAGCATATTGTTTTCAACCGCCCAGCGATGTATGCATGTTAAATCTATATTGATCTTTGTGACAATGTCATTTAAATTATCACTCCGACACGAATAATACATTTGTATATCATCGGCATATCCATGTAGCCTCGAAAATTGACATACTGAGAAAACGTCATTAATATAGATCGAAAATAGCAATGGCCCAAGAATCGATCCTTGAGGAACCCCAGAAAACAGAAGTTTAAAATTTGAAAATTTATTATCAGTAACTACTGACTGAGATCTCTCAGTTAAATAACTAAAAATAAATTTAGAAGCTAAACTGGAAAAGTGGAACTTATTTATGAGCTTTTTACAGAGCAAAGCGTGATCAACTCGATCAAATGCTTTTGAAAAATCTAGAAGGCATAAGTAAGTAACCAAATCCCTATCATAACTTAATCTAATATCTTCAAGGACTTTCAGCAAGGCAGACGCACAACTATGACCTTTTCTGAAACCAGATTGATAAGGAGATAGCAGATGAAAAACGTTTAGATGATTACGAATCTGTTCAGACATTATAGCCTCACACACTTTGGAAAGAGAAGAAAGAATACTGATAGGTCGATAGTCAGAAACTAATGAAGCATTAACTTTTTTCTCAGTTGGAATAACTTTAGCTTGTTTCCATGCCACTGGAAATGTAGAGGTAGTAATACAATAGTTTATAATATGAGTTAATGGAGATATTATAAATGGTAAAATGAGCTTTATGAATTTAAGAGGAATTTCATCTAGCCCAACAGCATTAGACTTAATATTCATTAAATTCTTAAAAACAATATCTTCACTGACGCAGTAAAAACTAAAGCCTTCATTAGCGTCAACAATATTCATATCAAAGAATACTGAAGAAGAGCTACCATTATCCTCTACAGAAGAAACAAAGAAGTTATTTAGAGCATTTGGGTCCATATTGCATATATTTTTACTTTTTCTTGTAACCCCAAGCATTTTGATATTATTCCAAAGGGTTTTAGTAGATTTAGTACCACCAAGCTTAGATTCATAGTAATCTGACTTAGCCTTAAAAACAGTTCTAGCAGCTACATTTCTAGCAATTCTAAACTTCATCCAGTTATATTCCGTAGGGTACTTTTTCCAAACTGCATATTTTCTATTTCTTAAATTAATAAAACGTTTTATTGTAGTACTAAACCATGGGCAAGAAACATTATTGACGGTAATAGTACGAAAAGGTACATACCGATTACGAAGGCTAAGCAATTTTTTATTAAATGCATCTAATTTTTGATCAACTGAAATACCAGACCAACATTCATTCCATTCAGTTGAATTAAGTTCACAAAATAATCCCACTGAATCAATTGACTTATAATCCCAAAAAGAAAATCTAGTTGAGATGGATTTTTTAGTTTTCTTGAAGTCAAGCGTAATAAATAGTAGGTCATGATCTGAAACAAATGAAATCTGTTCAAACAACAACAATTTGCTTATATCAGAAACTGCAATTATGTCCAGAAGACTAGGCTTAACATTATTGGCATATCTAGTAGGTATGGTCCTATTGACAATATTTAAGCCCGACATGGCAATAAGATCATTTAAACGGGAAACATTACCACAGTTTGAGAGAAGGTCATTATTGAAATCGCCAAGTACTGCTAAGAAGTCGAAATTAAGCGCAATGGGTTGCAGTGAATCAAAAAATGGATCGCAACTAAAGCGTTTGTGTGAATTATACACGCACCCCACCAATATTTTCTGAAAACCAACATTGATGCTTATAACAACAAATTCAATGTCAGACTCACCAGATATACATACCAAATTACTTTTTAAATGAGACTTGCAATAAATTGCCACCCCGCCTCCTCTCCTTTGCCTCCTATCATGGCGGTATAAAATATAATTGTTCATTGACAGAAATAAGCTACTGATGTCGCTATTAAACCAAGTTTCCGAAACGCATATGATATCAACATCAGAGTTTTCAAAAACAGTCCTAATGTAGTCAAATTTTAGATCAGTTAGGCTTCTAGCATTAAAATGTACCACATTAAGACCGCAATTTTGTTTACTAAATATATTTAACAAAGTTTTGTGGTCCATCAAAGTTGATAATCAGTCATTTCAGCTTCCAGTCTAAGTTTTCTTTGTAAAGTTTTACATTTTAGGTCCCTGGAATCATGGTCTATGTCGAGATCATTCAGATTTAGATTTTTCTTGGCTTTGATACAGTTTACACATCTTAGAACGCTGCTTTTACATTCTTTGTATATGTGGCCAGCTTCACCGCATTTTGCACATACATGCACACTTTCCTTACAAATAGACGCTTTATGGTTAAAACCCCAGCACTTGTAGCATCGCATTAAATTCAAGTTTTCGTACACTATGCATCGTTCCCAGCCAATATTAAGTCTACGAACACTCATAACTTGCTTGAAAGCTATGCCATCTAATTCAACTAACGCGTTAAAAATGTTTTTATTTTTGAACGACTCATATATTTTCAAGACTTTAATATATTTAATCTCCATATTGTTTTGATTTCTTATTGCTTGGAGAAATTTATCATTTTCCAAACGCTCACTCATGCCGGTAATAAGGATTTTAGGGTTTCGCATAGCAGGTGTCTCAATTTCATAGTTCTTACCTAATTTCTTTTTAATCTCTTTTGCAAGAATTTCTCTCTCTTTTGAGGTTACACATTTTATTGTTACCCTTCCATCATGTTTAGAATGAACACCACAAACTTTAACATTAAGCTCTGATGGATTTATTTTAGTTTTTAAATCATTTTTAGTTGCTTCACTTAATTGCTTATTTTTAGGTTTTAGCGTTATTGGAATATTTGGATTGTTTTTCATCTTTAATTTCGCGGCGTACGTTTCGCTTTGAATTTCATTATTTTTGATGGTTTTTACCAATTCAGCACCTAATTCGTTACCATTTTTAGTCAAATTATCAGACAAGTCTATTATTTTTTGCTCAAACAAAGCCAATTTTTTTTCATATTTTTCTTGTACTGCCATAAGAGAGGTGACTCTGTCAGAATACTTAGATTCAATTGCTTTTAGTAAAGATTTAATTTCACTTTCATTAATTTTTAGTGATTCCTTGAATTCGCTTTTGTATTCTTTTAAAATGTTCGTATTTTTAGTTACACTTTCTTGCATTTCTCTTAAAGCAAAGTCTACATTATGTATGTATTGCACACAGTTTTCACATATAAAATGTATCATTTTATTATTTAAAATATTTATATTGAATTGTTCTACTCCTGAACATTTTGGAGCAGTGTGATATACATGACCGCACACACCTGAACATATCAGACCCGTCTCACCACGGATTCCTAAATGACACTTATGGCATTCTTTCATATTTAAGTCATATATTTTATTTATTTAAAACAATATTTTAAAAAAAAAAAAAAAAAAATGAATTTGATATTAACTGACTTTACCAGTAAACTATAGTTCCTTTGATTTATTCAATTACACAATTACACTTAACGATTGCTTTTTGTGAAAAAAGAATGTACGTTTCACAACACTTATTTTTGTTTATATTTCGAGCTTTAAAGCTTTAATTGCTGTCTCTATCAGCTGTTTTAAGTATGTGTATAAAAACAAATCAAAACAAATTTAAAAACGCGCGAATTATTTTGCAAAGGAAATAATTTATTTGGCTAGCAGCACAATTTATTAAGTTCGATTTTAATAAAATTTAACACGCCCGGCGCAAAAATCCATAATTCCCGGCGACCACTCTCAAGTTCTATCAAGTTTATTAGAACTTCAACAATTATTTCAAGCAAATTCCAGAATTTTACCATAAAAAACGCGGACAACAACAAAACCACGACTTGTTGTGGTTTTTACTCTATATTTTACAAAATTTTTTTTTTATTTGTGTAAATAATTTTAGCGCTAAAAAATAAGTGAGAAAATTTTAAATATAAAAAATCAAAAAAAAAGAAAAAAAAAGTTCTGTTGAATTGTCTGA